GAGATGGGGGAGACCTCTCTTAGTTGCTCAGTTCTGTGAGGCCTGGCCAGGCCTGGTCTCTGGGCCCCTGGGGGGCTGTCCCACACAAAGACATAAATGGCCCTTGCCCCTCTCTGCCTCCCTCACCTCTGGCGCCTTGCCCAGTGGCTGCCTCTCCTTGTGGGACTCTGGTTTTAGGGGAGACCCAGCCTGGCCAAGCTGCACGGTGCAGGGGAGACTTCTCCCGGCATGGCAGCCTCAGACCGGAGCTGCTTCCTGTCAGCTCGGCACCCACCGAGTACTCTAGAACCTGGATCCAGTTGTCGTGACTCACGGGCCACAGAAGCAATGAATTTGGGAAGAACAGGAAAAACAGTCAATATTTATCCAACAGCTTCTCTATGGAGACTCGACCAGGGACTTCAACCTAGGTCGTCTCATTGAACCCTAACTGTCTGGGGGCAAGAATTTTATCCCTGGCAACGGAGAAGGCAACGGAGACTTGGCGGGACTGAGTGACTTCTCTATGGTTTCAAAGCTGACGTGATGCCAGGGTTTAGGCTCCCGTCTCCTTGACTCCAAATCCAGTAGCCCCAGACCACACCCTGCTGTGTGCACATGGCTGCCCATCAGAGACTCTTGGAAGTCGATTCTCTTCTATGCGCCTGGCCATGCCGGGTCAGCCTTATGTCTCCTTACCTCGGGAAGCCCTGGGATGGCCAGTGTCAGACATGGAAGGCAAAGTCTGGAGTCCTCGGCCTGCATCTGGGAGGGCCTGGGCTGGAAGGCAGCAGGTGTGATCAGAACATCCCCGAGGGCCCAGGACACACTGCTCGGGAAAGGACTCAGAGGGCGGGGCTGGTTGGCAGGTGCTGGCCTCTCCTCTGTGCCTGGTCAAGCATCCTCCAGTGGATTTCCAAAGCAGTGGGGGCAACAAGGATGGTGACCTTACATCAGTCATTTCTGGGGAGGCACATTGAGTGCTCAGCATGGCCACGTGGCATCGTAGGTCACTCTCCTCCAACCTGCTGCTCCAGAATCCAGCCTGGTTGTTGTGCACTTGGCCACGAAAGGCAAGGACACAGCAAGGTGCCGCTCTGTCTGGAACCCGAGGCTTTTCAGAGCTGCGCAGGGCTGGCTGGGGCTGGAACTGGCGCTCTGGAGGGCAGCGCCGAACTCTTTGCATGTATTTTACCACGTTCTCCTGCGGCTCCTTGGGAAGTGTTCAACAGAGCTGGTTTCCCTTGTGCTCGTCTGAGCCTGGCTTCTGTCAGTTTATGTGTTTTTCAAAAAATGCTGTCAATTCTCCACTTCTTGAATCCGTTAATTATCTGCCTGACTGTCTGTTTAGGCAGAGGAAAACCCAAATTGCGTAGGATCTCGCCCACCTCGCTGCAAGTCAGTTCAGTAAACACTCACCACAGCCCTGCTGGCTGGCCCAACCTGCCGCCAAACACAGGAGAGGCACTGAGGAAGAGGTGGCTGGTTTGGGCCTTGCTTTGGGAGGTAGGTGTGTGCGTCCTCTCTTGACTGCCAAGGCGGGAAGTGGCATGTCCTGGTCAACTCTGTCCTGACCCAATCCAAGGGTGAGGGAAAGGGGGTGGCATAGGGGCTCACAGAACTGTGGCTGCAGAACAGGGTGGCAGTGCCCCAGCCAAGAGCCCAGCTGCCTGGCCCTTCCCCTGTGCTAGCCGGGGGTGCACACGTGCCCGGTCGTGGGTCTGGGCATCTTATGCACATACAAGGGTTTGTTGGGAGAATCAAAGCAACAGTTGAAAACTGTGAAAGGGACAGGGACCTGAGATGAGGACCAACGGAGTGGAGGGATCTGTTCTGGGTTCCTTCCGGGCGCCAGGGTTCCAAGGCCTTCTCCTCCGACGGTTGGATTGGAATCAGTTCTGAGAAAGCTTCCAGAGCTTCTCTGTAGGGTGGAGTTGACTGGTGAAGGTCAGTTTATTGCTGTGGAAATGTAGAGTCCAAAGAGAGACGGGCCTGGTGAGTCCTCCAAAAACTAAGCACAGACTTGCTGTGCAACCTAGCGATTCCACAAAAGAACTCAAAGCAGGCACGGGAAGTGATCTTCTGTTTGAACACCCATGTTTATGGCGGTACTATTCACCAGAGC